TTTTGTTTTGTTTCTTTTTGTTTAATTTTTGAAACAGGGTCTCACTATGTAGTCCAGACTGGTCTTGAACTCATGGCAATCCTCCTGCCTCAGCCTCCCAAGTGCTGGGATTACAGGCGTGCAACTGGTCTTGAACTCATGGCAATCCTCCTGCCTCAGCCTCCCAAGTGCTGGGATTACAGGCGTGCATCACTACACCAGCTGTTTTTGTTCTTTTTGAGACAGAGTCTCACTGCTGGGTTGTCTAGGCTATCTTTGAGCTCATTGTGTAGTTCAGGAGAGCATTGATTTTTTTCCCCCCATTACCAGGGATCAAACTCAGGGCCTTGTGTTGTAAGGCAGGCTGGTGCCATTGAGCTAAATCTCTGGCCCTAGAATTTAATTTTTTATCTTCCTGCCCGAGTTTCCTGAGTAGCTGAGATTATGCTGGGATTACAGGTATACCACCACAGCCAGCCTGACTTCCTCCTTAGAAAGGATAGCCCTGGCTGTTATGTGGAGAACAGCCAGTGGAGGTAAGCACAGAAGCTAGAAGAGTTATTAGGAGGCTATTGTAGGAATAAGATGGAGACTCAAAAGGTTATTTAGATACTGAAATGAGAAATGGTTTTAAAATTTTGTAATTATCTAAATTCTCCATTTTTTGTTTTGTTTTGTTTGGTCGGTTTAGGTTCATTTTTTGTTTTGTTTCTGAGACAGGGTCTCACTGTGTAGTTCAGGCAGGTCATGAACTCCTATGTAGTCCATGCTAGCCTCAAACTCTCAGTGATCCTCCTGCCCTCAGCCTCCCAAATGCTGGGATTGCAGGTATGTGGAACCACACCTGGCCCTACTTTGTTTTGTATGATGAAACGAGTCTTAAATTCTGAAATGATGTTCCTCAGGAAGTGATGAGAATTTGTCTCAGACAAACAGAAGACAAAGTACTGTCTTGCTGAAGGTACTGTAAGATCTAAGTGCAAGTGGTCTAAGAGGTAGCTTCTCGAAGCAGAAAAGCCGACCACAGGGCATGCCTGGACAGGGGCTAGAGACCAGCCTGGTTAGGAGGGAGAAGGGATGGTGGCTCCCATCATCCACAGAGGAGCAGCAGGGTGGTGGGATGGATCAGAGTTTGCAGAGAATGTGTCATAGCTCGACCTGGAGTTTAAGGATGACGCCAAGATGTTCCTCCTAGGCAACTAAAGGATGGAGTTGTCATTTACTGAGATGGAAACGATTGAAATAACTGGGGTGGGGGGGTGAGTCAGAGTGATGAAGTGATCCAGAGTTTAGATTTCAGCCCAGCATGGTGGCGAGTTTTAGTGATCTAGCAAGACCCTGTCTCAAAATAAAAATGAAAAAAGGGCTAGGGATGTAATTTAGTGCAACTCCCCAGACTGCAAAAGAAAAAAAAGTTCAGTAGTTTTGGACACGTGAATTTGAGATGTTAGATGTATTGAGTCTGGAGAGATAAATTAGGAAACATGAAAAGTATGAAACTGTCATTCACCAGGGGAGTTGGTATAGACTAAGAAAAGTGTCAGACTAAACCTAGGTCTACTCTGATTTTTAGACACTCATAAACAAGGAGGAGCCAAGTAAAGAGACTGAAAAGGAAGCTGCCAGCAAGACAGGAATGGTGTTCCAAAACTGAGATAAAGTATTTCAAGAAGGAGGAAGTAAGTGTTCAGTACTGTCTGCTGTTACATCCTCAACTGGGATGAGAACAGAGATTTGGCTATTGGGTAGGCCCGCATAAATGTTCCTGAGTGGTTTTGCTAAGGAAATATAGTGAGTTTAAAGGCATTACTAGGCAGAAAAAGAATGAAGAGCTGGACCAGGTAGCACGCACCTGTAATTCTAGTTACCCATGAGGCTGAGGCAGGAGGATTACAAGTTCAAGGCAAGACCCTATCTCAAACAGTAAAAAAGAGTGGGGATGTAGAACAGTGGTAGCAGAGTGCCTCTAGTTTCAAGCCCCATGTATAGGGGGATAAGTGCAATTAACTAAAAAAACTATTTTGAGTTTTGCAGTAATAGCACAGAAATGGGGCACTCTTGAATAGTAATGTGCAGCCAAATGAAGTTTTTTAAGTGAAAGATACTACAGCATGTTTGCATGTTGATGAATGTGTCCTAGTAGCAAGATAAATTGATGATGTCAAAAAGAAATAGGTGATAATTGATAAAGTGATGACTTGATCAAAATAGACATTTGAGTTGGGTCTTGCACAGTGTAACCAAGACCTAGAACCCTTCCCCCCTCCCACTCCTGGGAAATGGAGGAACAAGAAATTTTTGCTGCAACACTGGAACAAAAGGTAATGGCTCCTTTCCTGTGCTCCCACCTCTGGCGCTCAGCACCAGTGGCCACAGATGGGGCTTCCTGGTCTTTCAGCCTTTGTCCCACCTCTGTGTGATTGTAGCAATCCTCCAAGCCGAAAAGTGTGAAGCAAGCTCCAGTGGGAAGAAACTCCTGAGGGACAAAGTTTATCTGTGGTCCAGCACTTATCTATGTGGCCATCTGTGCGTGCACTTTCTGCAGAGACTCCTGGGTTGCCAACTGGAGGAGGATGCTCGGCCATTCCACTTTGCCCCTCTGGAGGGGCCAGGTATATTGAGCTAGGCAAACGGTCTAGGAAAATATGTCCTTTGGTAATATTTTCCATCAGGCTTCATTTGGGTCATGTGCAAGTGCCCCAGGGATATTAACTAAACTCAGTAGGCATTTACTCCTTAGAGTGATTTCCCATCTTAGAGAAGCCTGCTCATTCCATTTCTGGGACCCAAGACACTTTAGGGTAAGGCCTAGGTAAATTACTGAGTCAGAAAGTATCCTAAAAACAAGGAAAGCCAGGTATAATGGCACACACTTGTAATCCCAGCATTCTGGGAGGTTGAGACAGGAAGACTGCAAATTCGAGCCTACACTGGGTAACTTCGTATCTTTTTGTTTGTTTGTTTGTTTTTGGTACCGTAGATCGAACTCTAGTCCTTGTGCTTGTGAGGAGGTGGTGGAACCACTGAGATAAATCCCTGGCCCTGTAACTTGGTATCTTAACAATTTAGCCAGACTGTATCAAAATTTAAAGATTTAAAAGGGCTAGGGATGTAGGCTCATGAGAAGGCCCTGGATTTAACCCTCAGTACTGCAAAAAAGGAGGTGGGGTGGAGAAATGAAGATCTAAAAGAGAGGCAGAAAAGTACTAAAAATATCTAAAAATACTAACTTCCTGTCTTTTTTGAGAAGGGCCCCCCGCCTTTTATTGCTGCACACTGGCAAGCAGCTGGTAAGTTGGAACCACTGATTATTTATTAACCATGGCCTTGGACAACTGCCTCATCTATTTCCTCTGTAAAATGGGAGAAAGGAGAGATGTACAGACACACCCCTCCCAGACCCCCTCAGTGTGACTGTGAGCACGATAACCAGATGGGCAGTGCCCCCTGTCAGTCCAACAGGGAACAGCAGCCACTTCTTCAGTAGAAGGCCATGATGGCCTTGAAGGTCTGAGAGAGATGAGAAAAGTGTTCAACGAATGACGCAGTCACTGGCACTCTGGATAGTCCTGCTGAGGATAATGGAAAGAACCAGAGTTTGCGGGGAGTGGAGTCAATAGATTGGCAGAAAAAGAAAGAAAACACATGGAGGAACACATTCCCTGAACTAGGTTCAGCTCAGCCAACTGCCCTTTTCTTCCCAGTCCTCACTTAGCACACACTCTTGACACCTACGGCAGTGCCCAGTCTTTCTCAGCCTAGTTGTCACCACTCAGCCCCTCGGGCCTGGCTCATCTTCACACCCACTTCATTAGCCTCAGCTTTCTCCCCCAGTGACATGCCCAGGTTAGCACACACCACAGGTGACACATAGGGTGACACAAGGTACGCCACAGGGGGGCAGAGTGACGCATACACACATATTTCATTTCCCCGAGCACACACTCATCCACCCACCTCCAAACACAGTTCTAGACGCACTCCATCTCTCAACCTTCCGCGCAGCCATGTCCTTCCTAACTCACTGCCCAGGCAGTGGCAATGAACAAAAAGACCTAATTTTAAAACAAACAAACCAAACCTGATGTTCTCTTCTGACCTAAGCTAAAATCCAACGTTCTTTTAAATGTGCCCCTAACCTCTCTCCTCAGAGCCGAGAGTTTCTGAATACACCGATCCACAGGAGCTCGCACCCTCTGAACACCCATACATTCCCACTTGCACTAACACACACACACACACATACACACGGCCACTTGGGCTGACCTGCATCAGGACAAGTGCAAACTGCTGCTGCTTCAGGTTTCTCTCCATTTGGTCAGCAGCCCCCTCCCGGGATTTCCCTGACCACAGATCCACCCACGTCCCAGTCTCCCCCTTTCCCTTCTCTGTCCGCAGTTGTCGGGGTAGAGGGGTGGGCCTTGAGCAGGGAAGTGCTTCTTCAGAGTTGTTGTCCAGAACCACAGCTTTCCTCCTGACGCTCAACATGGGGGAGAGAAGGGACGCCAGTGGAGCCCCGTGACGTCGAAGGGGCAGCCCCACCACGCCTGGCCAGGAGGTCTGGGCTCCTGGAGGGTTCTCCCCAAGCACATTGTCGCCGCGCCCCCTAGCGGATGCTGGTCCCCGACGGGCTCCGGACGCGGAGAGAAGTGAGGCGGGGTGCGCGTGGGAGGGCGTCCCAAGGGGAGGGGTCCGGGCCAGCGCTGGCC